TATATATATATATCCTAAAAACCTGGGGTAATCCCAATTGAAGTCTCTGGGCTCTCTCTGGCGTTACTAATGCACATAGTTGAACACACTTAAGGTTTTTTAAAAAGAAACATTTTAAGTAAACTTCAAGAAATTAATGTGACATATTAGCATGCTACAGCTGAGCTACCCTCCTGTCACAGACCCTGTGACAGACATTCTCGCATGAGTTCGATGCAGAGCCCAATCACAGTGTCCAGAGTCAGACATGAAGCACACAAGGCTTGTGTGTGACCTCTAAAAAGGCAAAAGTGGAAAGAAAGATAAGACAAAACAGATCTTTCTAAAGGTACCCCAAGGCAGGAGGATTACCTGAACTACATAGCCTTAGAGGCAGGATTCAGAATAGCACTGCATGTTTTACAAGACAAAGGTCAAAGACAGCTGGTTTTTAGGCCCTGCCAGGTATTAACAAGTGGGGTGATCTTGGGCCAGGAATCTCCCTGCTGGGTCTCTGTTGCACACCTGTCCAATCATCTGGCCATATTCTTTCCTTGGGATAAAAAGACATAAAGAGGCAGATACTTCTATGCATGGACTAATCTTGTACAGGCAGAAACCACACCACAGCAGAGGTCTTCAGGCCCAGAGGAGACCTGCTTACTGGAAAATGAACTGTGGCAACCAGTCCCTTGAAATTTGGTACAAACTAATTCTAATTTCAATTGTTTTATAAGGCTAGGAAAGTCATTTGGGAAAGTCATCTGTGTATTAATTTCTTCCTTACAAGCAAAAATAAGAGAAACAGTCCCGATCTCACAGGACTAAGCAGAACAACAAATGCAGGCATAAACAAGCATTGTCAAACTGCCAGAGATCTAGAAATAGCTCATAGGTGGTAAAGGGAGATGATGTCACCACCAACAGCACCATGGGAAATGATCCACTGTTCTAAGAAGGGATACCCAGGAGCCACTGGTGACCTAACCTGTGTTAGGTTCCTAAAATGGCAGCATAGCTGCCAATGCTCCAGGATTGCTGCATAGGCCCCCATCAGGAAACAGAAACTTTAACATTTCTCAGGGACCCTGTGACTCTAGGACGTAATTTATCCTAAGACAGCAGTTGCTGGTTCCCAAAGCCCATGACTTCAGCAGACAATAGAGAGCAGCTTCCCATTCCCCACATCTGCCAAGTTTCATCAGTAATGACCTCCTCTCTCCTTTTATTTCGTGGTTATTTCCTCCAGGTGCCCCCTATAAACCAGGCTGTTCTGGCCTACATGCCTCCTCCCTCTGCACAAGTCCCAAAACAACTCCACTGCACAATTACTGGCCACCGTTCTCTGTTCCTGAGTGACAGTCTGGCAGTTTGTTCCCAAATAAACTGCTGTTTCTACCCACAGAATGGTCCTGTTCAGTGGTTTTCGCTGCACACTTGCATACACCCTGAAACCAACTAATCCTGCTAAGGAATACTCCTTTCAGTGGTGACTATAGACAACATGCCTTTGCTCTTCCTCTCTGGGGCATATCTCCCTTCTCAGTGGCAGTGATGCAATGGAGGACAGGTACAGGTCTCTAATCCCTCAACAGCTCTGAAATGCCACAAACAGAGCTGAAGAGAGCCGCAGACCTATTCTCAGAGCTCTCAAGAAAAAAAAAAGGTTCCCACTGTCAAAACTCAAATAGCAAGAGATTAGTGGGTCCTAAGCAAAGACATGCAGCATTCAACATTGTTTATAGAGTGTCAATCAGATCTGTGAAAGTTCTAGACTGCTGTACAACTTTGTGCTTATCATTAAAATACCACAGCATATAACTGAACATTTAAGAGGGTAGATCTCATGTTTGTTTATCACATTTAGAGAAAAGATGTAGCTCAAGGTTAAGCTTTCTACTAGATAAACCTCTTCATACACATTCCCTTACTGAAGCTTTCTACTAGATAAATCTCTTCATACACATTCCCTTACTGCTAAGTTTAGGAGAGCTGGCCACCAGGTGAGCTAGCAACAAAGGTGAGAAGTTGTCTAGCCAATACCAAAGAAATGTGTCTTGGGACCACAGACAGGATGCCACATAGCCACTGTTCTAAGGAAAAGGTTATGTTCAGCCCATATTCCAACTCCAGAATGTCTACCTGGAGGATCCTGGCAAACATAGCAGGTATACTTCTCCGGCACGTTTTCCTCCAGTAATCCCATGCAGACCCCATGCTGCCAACACTGGCATTCTTCACACTGTGAGAATCAAAAAAGAAACAAAAATTAAAACTCAGAAAGTGGGCTGGAGAGATGGCTCAGTGGTTAAGAACACTGCTTGTTCTTGCAGAAAACCCGGGTTCGAATCCCAGCACCCACATGGCAGCTAACAACTGTCTGTAACTCTAGTTCCAGGGGATCTGACAGCCTCTTCTGTCCTCCACAGGCATTACACGACAGGTGCACTTACCTACCTACACACAGGCAATACATGCATACACATAAAATCAAAATAATAAATGAAATATTAAAAAAAAAAACTCAGAAAGTATCCTCCATCCAAAAGTAGAACTTCTGGGGCTGGAGAGATGGCTCAACAGTTAAGAACACTGACTGTTCTTGCAGAAGACCCAGGTTCAAATCCCAGCACCTACACGGCAGCTAACAACTATACATAACTCCAGTTCCAGGGAATCTGACAGTCTCTTCTGTTCTCTGTGGGCACTGCAGGACATGGGTGCACTTACCTACATACAGGCAATACACATATACACATAAAATAAAAATAATATATAAGCTGGGTGTGGTGGCACACGCCTTTAATCCCAGCACTTGGGAGGCAGAGGCAGGCGGATCTCTGTGAGTTCAAGGCCAGCGTGGTCTACACAGTGAGTTCCAGGACAGCTGGGCTACTGGGAGACCCTGTGTCAAAAAGAACCCCCCCCCAAAATAATAATAAATAAAATGTTTAAAGAAAAAAAAAAAAGAACTTCCTCTGGAAATGAGGGTGAGAGCGGAGGTGCAGGAGGATACTCCCTACCAACTTGTATTCACCTGAATACAGCCACACACTAGAAATGGACATATGGACAGCTGGGGACAGGAAGTCTAAGCTCTAAAGAGACTTTAATCCTAGCACTCAAGAGGCAAAGGCTGGAGGACCTCTGTGAGATCGAGGTCAGTCTAGTCTACATAGTGAGCTCTAGGCCAGCTGGGGCTACAGCGAAACCCTGTCTCAAAAAAAAAAAAAAAAAAAAAAAAAAATGGAGGGAATGGAGTAGAAAGGCAGACTCCTAGAAAGATACTAGGACATTTGAGGCAGTGCCAGCCCAAGATCTTAATCCTTAACTATCTAATAAACAGATGAGCTCTGGAAGACTGACAGGGAACTTCAATACACACCCTTGATGGCAGGCCACCAGCCTGACTGCTAAAAGCCACGCACAGCTCACAGTACTCACTTGGAGTAAAATAGGCCCCAACATCAAAAGAGCTTTCCTGGGCAGATAAAAGCCACCTGGGAAACTGATTAGATCAGAATCAACAAAAGCAGAGCTGGAAGGCAGTTCTTTTTGAGACAAAGTATCACTATCCTGGCTGGCCTAGAACTCACTATTTAGACAAGGCTGGTCTCAATCTCACAGAGATCAGCCTGCCTCTACCTCCTGAGTGCTGGGATTAAAGGTGTGCGTGCCACCGAGCCTGGCATCCTACTAGGTATTTAAAAATATAAAGGTGTAATAATACAGAATGGTATGAACAAACATACAGCCAGATGAATCACTGAAAAAGAAGGGTCCAGAAAGAGCTCCCAATACACTCAAAGATGGGGTAAACATAGGCAATACTTCAAAGAATGGAGCATGGCAAAGTAAAGCCAGAGTCCCCACTTCATACCAAAATAAACTCCAAATGAATAAAATATATAAAAGGTTCTTCAAAAAATGAAACCTCAGCCTGACATGGAGGTTCACACCTAGACCCTATCTCAAAAGACCACCCTCCCTCAAAAAAACCCTCAGAAATTCTAGAAGAAACTATGAATTAAAGGTTTGCTTTTGTTTTCTTATTTTCGCGATGCTGGGAATCAAATCCAGTGCCTTGGCATGTGCTACAATCTCTAGCGCTGAGGAAGAGCCCCTTCAACCCCATAATGGAAAAATTCTTTTACAGACTTTTCAATAAATACATGACTTCCAGTGACGAAGCAACTGTTACTCAAATCTCAGAAGTTATAAAGAAAAGCTTATTATAGTTCAGCTCATGAAAACAGACAGAGCCTGTAAGATGGCTCAGCAGGTAAGAAGGCCACACAAGCCTGGCAACCTCAGCTCCATCCCTGGGACCACAATGGAAGGAGAGAACCAACTCCTGAAAGTTATTCTCTAATCCCCACACATGAACTGTTGCCTTTGTGCACCTACACCCATACATAACAAATAATTACATACATATATACACAAACACACACATACACACAAATAAAAGGGAAAAAATGGGGCTGGAGAGATGGTTCAGAGATTAAGAGCAATTGCTGTTGCTGGAGAGGACCTGGGTTCTGTTCCCAGCTCATTATCCAGGCAGCTCACAACCACCTGTAACTCCAGCTACAGGGAATCCGAAGTCCTCTGGCCTTCTCGGGTACCCGTAAGCACATGGTACACAAGAACTCATGCAGGTACACATAATAAATAATTAAACATTTTTTATTTTATATATATGGTGTTTTGACTGCATGGAAATGTGTCTGTTCATGCAATGCCTGTAGAGGCCAGAAGAGGGCACTAGGTCCCTTGCAATTGGAATTAGGAAGAGTTTTGACTGATAACCATGGGAGCCAAGCCTGGGTCCTCTGCAAGAGCAGCCAGGCTCTAAACTCTAATCTGCTGAGCCATTTCTCCAGGAAGAAATGGGATTCCTAAAGCAAGCCAGCTAGCTAAACTAGCCAATTCAGTGAGTTCTGGGTTCAAGTGAGAGACTCTCCTCAATATATCAGGTAGAAAGCAATCAAGAAAAAGACCCTAGTCAGACTGTCTCCAAAAACAAAACAAAAAACTTTTAAAAATCGTAGAACTCAGCAGAAGCAGGTGATCTCTGTGAGTTCAAGGCTAGCCTGGTCTACATAACAAGTTCCAGGCTCGCCAAGTTCCAGGCTAGCCAGAGCTACATAGTGAGCCCTATTTAAAAAAATAGATACCCAGTGTTAACTTCTGACCTACATAACACACACATACACACACACACACACACACTCACTCACTCACTCACTCACTCACTCACATATATACATGAAAAAAGAAGCCAAGCATGGTGGCTTACATCTTTGATCCCCGCACTAGCGAGACAGAGGCAGGTGGATCTCTGTGAGTTCTAAGCCTACACAGTGAGAGTTCCAGTCCAGCTTGAGCTACAGGGAGACCCTGTCTCAAAAAGACCAAAAAAAAAAAAAAGTATTAGTCCCCTAAACCCTAAATGTATGCTTTTGCTAAAGTTACTGAGTAGAAAAGACACAGTGCTTACAGTGCCAGAAATATCAGAAACCGTCCCTGTACAATAATAAAGCCAGCAGACATTCCTGGCTCAAGAAGACTGCAGAGAAAAGTCCTCTAGAACCAGAGGCAAGGAGCTTTTGAGGTAAGTTCAACACTAAAATGCTAGACGTGGAGTTGAGCTGAAGGGAAGGCTAACTGAGGCCTGAGAGGCAGGAAGCAGAAAGCTGGCTCTAGACTGCCATGTAGCAGCTGCTGCAGTCCCCAAATCTCCAAGCTTAGTTTCTTCCTACCAAACTTTAACAGCAATCCAAGTCCTCCCTCCATACTCCTGGAGGGGGCAGGGGGAGCACGCATTACTCACCCATGGAAGAGCCAAACAGACTGTCAAGGACCAGAACTGAGGCTAGGCCCAGAAAGACAGGGGTAACTAAAGGTCATTAACATGCTTTTAAAAACAAACTACAGCTGGCTATAGTGGGGCACACCTTTAATCCCAGCACTCAGGAGGCAGAAGCAGGTGGATCTCTGTGAAATCCAGGCCAGCCTGGTCTACATAGGCCAGCTGGGGCTACTGGAAGAACCTGTCTCAAAAAAACAACCAAACAAAATAAAAATAAAAACAAACTAAAATTCCACTAAAAATATCAACAATCCTCATGTTATTACACATGATTTTCTAACTATTCCACAGAGCTTTAAAGTTCTGTAAGTGGTTTTTTTGTTTTGTTTTTTTACAATGGGGCTATTAAAAAAAAAAAAAAACACCTAAAAATGCATACTCAGTCACTCCATGGCAAATGTTAAGACAGCATGCATAATTTTGTATTGTCAGGTTACTCAGCATTATATTTTCCTGGAATAATGTTTTTCTTCCATCCTGGTTAATTAAGGGGACTCCACAGCATGCTATTTGGGAAAAGTCACCCTGACAACAGTCACATGTCAAGGTTGTCCCAAAATGAACAGCCAAACCGAGAAAAGTAAAATGAGGCCGGAGGTGCTCATGCCAGCAGCTGGCCCTCAGCGCTGACAGTGCACGAGCACTCCAGGGAACAAGCACGCTACTACCACTTCTGACCTTAGCAATTTTAACAATCTGTTTGAACTATAGCTTTTTTTTTTTTTATTCCTGTTAAAAATTTTGGGGTTCTATGAAACATTCTAATAGGAAAAGAGGTTCTAATGCTGAAAAAAATTGAAAACAATTGAACAAACATATACTAAGGTCATAAATGTTCATTCATGAACCTTAAAATACCCAGAAATTACCTTGAAGACATTTGCTTTTGAGTCAGGATCTTGCTAGGCAGCCCAGGCTGGCCTCACACTAAGTCCTCCCTCAGCCTCTTAAGAAGATACTCCCTCAACCTAAAGTATTTCTGTGTGTACTGGTGGGAGTGGAGGAGGTTTGGTCAGTCAGCCTAGTCAATGCTGCTGGGTTTCAAAATCAAAATTTAAAAAAAAAGTGTTTCATTTCTCAATTGCAAACGGCAGTGGTTACAATTTCACAGCACTTTATGCATAAACAAATGAGTACAGCACCTGTACAGCTGAACCATCAGAACAAGCTTCACTGACTGTGGCAGTGCCAGGTTCTTAATTTTGATACCATGTTTTCATTTGGGCTACTTGGCACGGGAAGTAGGTTAGGCAGTAGTTCACTGTGTATTTGGGACTTGTGTATTGTTTGGATTCTTCTATAAATCAATCTCTCTCTCTCTCTCTCTCTCTCTCTCTCTCTCTCTCTCTCTCTCTCTCCATCTTTGTGAGATACAGTCTCCCTATAGCCCCGGCTGGCCTGGAACTCATTGAGTAGACCAGGTTGGCCTTGAACTCACAGAAATCCGCCTGCTGGGATTAACGCCACTATGCCTGGCATGAATCTCTTTTTAAAACCAAAAAGCACTTGGTAAGTCAGGATTATACACCTGCAATCCAGCTACTTAAGAGGTAAAGCAGGAAGATTGAAAGATTAAGTGTAGCCTGGCAATTTAATAAGACCCTGTCTCAATAATTAATAATTAAAAATTGGGACTTCAGTCAGTGAGGTGGCTCAGTGTCTTTACTGAGACACTTGCCACTGACAACCCAAATTTGATCCCCAGAACCTACTTGGTGGAAGGAGAGAACAGAATCCCACAAGTTGTCCTATGAACCCCACACATACAATCAAATAAGTGTTTGGGTTTTGTATTTTTATTTTTAAAAATATTTTATTTATTATTTTATGTGTACAAGTGTATTGCTGCATGTATGTGAGTGCACCCATATCATGCAATGCCACAGAGGTCAGAAGAGGCCTTCAGATTCCCCTGGAACCGGAGTTAAGGACGGTTTGTAGCTGCCATGTGGGTGCTGGGACTCGAACCCGGGTCCTCTGCAAGAGCAGTCAGTGCCCTTAACCTAGTCATCTCTCCAGCCCCTGTTTTTGTTTTTCTAAAGTGAGGCTTGGATGGGCACATGCCTTTAAGCCCAGGGATTTGGGAGGTGGAGGCAAGAGGAACAGAGTTCAAAGTCAGCTTGGTCTATATAAGATCTTTTCTCAAAAAAAGGGGTGTGGGAAGCTACAGATATAGTTCAATGGTAGATAACTTGTCTAGCATATGTAATGCCCTGGGTTCAATCCCTACCACTGAAGGGGAAACATGGGGGGAAGATGACAGGGTGACAAAAATAAACAAAAAACTTAGTAAATAGAAAGTGAAAAGGTGTCAGGCATGGTGGTGTATACTGTAATCCCAACACTGAGTAGGTCGGAGTAGAAAAATCAGGAATTCAAGGTCATCATTAACTCTAAGGAGCTCAAGTCCAGCTTGGGCTACACAAGACATTTTCAAAGTATACAATTTTAAAAGGGTAAAAAGGAAAATGGGACCTACTCACTCTCTGATCTACTGAAACTCTGAAGAACTATGACAAGGTCTGATGTTTCAATCATCAGAAGAGGACTGGGGAAATGGTTCAGTAGCAGAGTGCTCTCCAAGGACCCTAGGTTCAATCCCAGGGAATGGGGGAAATCAAAGAAAAGGAGGTTACTGAATATAAAAAGACAAATGTGAATATAAAGCACATATGAGCTGGGTATGGTGGCACATGACTATAATCTCAGCACTTAGGAGGCAGAAATGGGACCAACATAGCAAGTCTGAGGCTGTGATATGTTGTCAACTTGACACAATCTAAAATCATCCATGAGAACACACATCATGGACTGTCAAGATGAGGCTGGCCTGTGGGCATGTCTATGGGGGGATATCCTGAGTAGGAAGACCCTCCACTGCAGATGGCACCATTCTTCAGGCAGGAAATCCTGAACCATGTAAAAGTGGAGAGAGCAAGCTGAGCATAAGCATGCTGCTCTAATTTGCTCCACTCTGGTTCCTAACTGCTGACGGAATGTGACCAGATGCCTCATGCCCTTGCCACCATGCCATGCTGGTCTCTATCCCTCTGGAACTATGAGCCAAAACAAGCCCTTCTTTCCTTAAATTGCTTTTCTCAGGGTATTTTATCACAGCAACAGAAAAGTAACTAAGAGACTTTGTCTCAAAAAGCAAAGGATAAAAGACATAAATTCAGGCTGGGTGTAGTGGCACATGCCTTTAATCCCAGCACTTGGAGGCTGAGGCAGGTGAATCTTTGTGAGTTTAAGGCCAGCCTGGTCTACATAGTAGTTCCAGGTCAGCTGGGGCTACAGGGAGACCCTGTCTCAAAAAGACAAAAAACAAAAACAAAAGGACATAAATTCAACTACATAAATTAAATCAAGATGAAGAAGTGGATTTCAAACTTTTATGTCATAGTCATAGCCATAGCATAAGAGAAAAGACAGAAAGCAGACTAGCAGGGCCGGGCCTTTTCTTCCTGACCATTCCAGCCTATGCAGACTCTTTCTGGGTGGTGGGCAGCCACTTCTTTAATCAGGAACAATCACTCCACCACCACTACCACACAGTAACAGAGACAAGCCCTTGGTGGCCTTTCTGTAGAATGTGAGCCTATCCACCAAACCAGACGATTAGATCAAGGATGGGCATCTGGCCCAGGACTAACTTCTCCCTAACCCCACAGATGACTGTTGTGAACCTAGTTGGAATTCTTGGCCCAGGAATTCAGAATTGGTACTGAGATTCTAACCTCAGCTTAGCTACTCTCTTGAACAAACAGAGCAATAGGGAAGGGGCCATGTAAGAGAGCCCATTTTCCATGTTTCAAGAAAATAAGCAAAGAGAGAAAAGAATCAAATTGACTCCATGGAAAAGCAGAAGTGGGATAGACCAAGCCCCTGAAGATGAATTCTAGGCTTCGGAGTCTGAATTTAGTCCTCTGAGTTCCAAAACCCAGACTACTTTCAGCAATGTTTGTACTTGCTCCTAAAAGAATACCAACCTGGCCAAGCATGGTGGTGCATGCCTTTACTCCCAGCACTTGGGAGGCAGGGGCAGGTGGATCTCTGTGAGTTCAAGGTGAAACTAGTCTATATAGTGAGTACCAGGCCAGCTGAGGCTACAGGGAGACACAGGGAGACCCGTTTCAAAATACCAAAAAAAAAAAAAAAAAAAAAAAAGAATACAACCAGGATGACAAGATGGCTCAGCGGATAAAGGCACTTGCTGCCAAGACTGATGATCTGAGTGTGAGCCCCTCCCCAGAACCCACATGACAGAAGAGAAGATACTCCTACATGTCCTCTGACCTCCACACAGGCTGTGACAGGTGTGTGCAAATATATACACAATAAATAAATGCAATATTTTTTTATAAAAGAAAAAAATAACACTAACCAAAGTTGTAATACCAGTACTCAGAGGATCTCTGTAAGCTTTCAAAAAAAAAAAAGGAATGCTAAGCAATACAACCATGACAGGGGAGAAGAAAAACAAAAAAAACCACAACAATTAAACAAAACCTAAACTTATGTTTCCTGATGAGCCAAGCAGCTACCAAGATACTGCGAGCATCTATGACCCTTTAGAGTCACCAGGCAGCAAATAACTTCTGTCAGAATTGGGAATTACAGCAATCAAAGGGCAGGGCAGGGCAAGCAGATGGGGCCAGTGAAGGTCTGTCTTCCTAAGCAGGTAGACAAACGCCAACACACAGAACCATCCCAAAGAGGCGATGAGAGATATGCCAGGAAAATAACAGGAAACAGGCAAATTATAAAACCAGACTCCATTTCTTCAGGCTACAAGGAAATTTTATCTCAAAAAAGAGTCCATAAAGGTTAAACTGCCACTCCAAAGTCCAAATGCCTTCTATCCAATGACAAGGCCCTTCCCCTTTGGCCTCAGTGATTCCTTAATTCTGCTCTCATTCTATTAACAGGCTGTTTACAGCAGCCTAGAACTCCCAGGAAACTGAACCAAAGGGCAAACTCAGCTCACTGCTCTTAGTAGTGCGTACTGGCTGACATGACTCACTGTTGTGCTGGCCTCTACTCTCTGGAGATACCGGTTTTGTCTTCCTCTGTCCTGTGTTCTGAAACTCTACTTGCCTGAATCATGAAGTCGTTTTCCTCCTGGACTTCACAGATGCAACGGACCACCTCAAAATCATAGCGGTCATCACCATCGAGTTCCTCATCTGGGTTGGTGGTCACATCAACATCTTGGCCACACTCTTCATCACTCCAAAGAAAGCTCTCAGAAGAGGACTCACTCAAATTATCCTCCTCTGGAAGGAAAGGGAAGCCAACAGCCATTGTTCTAAATTTAGTTATAAAATTTATAACACTATGGTGTCTCAGACTCATTCCTCCAGGGAATGCCAATCTGTTCTTTGGGTTTCTTATTAGGATAAGCTCAAATGTCATAGGCTGCCTGACAAGAAACTGAACTCCATATCCTCATTTCACTGAGAGAACATTAAGCCCAAAGTTAGTGGCTGCCAATGTCCCAGCACTCACTGACAGAGACACAACATCCCATGAGTCATCCATCACCCTAAGAATTCTAACCTGCTCCTCAGCTGTCCCCATCCAGCCAGGACCTGGTTTATAACCATCTCTGTCTACCACCTGTACAGCCACTTTTACAGCTGTACATACAGTGGGGAAAAAGGCAGGGGCGATTGCAGGGCTAATCACTAGATCTTAGTGCCGACTAGTTACAATCACAGTTAACTTGTACTGAGTACTTACTCTGCATCCTGCTGTGTTTGAAGCACTTGCTCTATACCACTTACTTTCTAACAGATGCTCAGGTGAGCAGTGGGCTCTCTTACCAGAAGCTTTCAATTTCCCTTTGTGGTTTCCAGAATCTGAGCCATGGAGCTGCGGGCTCATATGGGCCCCAGGCTTGTGTGAGGACCCACACCTAGTGACAGCAAATGCTTTGGGGGGAGAAAGTTCCTGGGAGGTGTCACTAATCTCGTCACTGCAAGGACAGTCTACAAGAAGAACATTAAGAACAAATGAGCAAATCCAGACACCATCTGGGCATCCCAGAATCAACCCCATCCCATCAATAGCCTGCTGTTCAAAGAACTCAAAGGTGTGGCCAAAACACAACCACAAAGAAGTGTGGAGGGCAATCAGGGATATATATATATACTTCCAGCCCCTCTGAGAATGCTTCCTTGTAATACAATGCCCCCCTTTTCTGATAAGATTGCTTTTCCAAACCAGAAGCAACAATAAGAATAAAACATGGCATCTCTTTAGCTCCTGCAATTGCAACAGAGATTTTCTCTAATGTTATTACAAGGGTAGAAACACACGTTTTGAGAGGCAAATATTTTCTTGAGAGGTGGGTGTTTTTTATGTATGTCAGCACCTCAGAGGCTTAGGCAAAAGTACTGAAAAGTTGGAAGGCAGGCTGAACTACATAGTAAGGTCCAGGCCAGCCTGAGCTAGAGTAAGACCCTGTTTCAAAAAACTCAAGAAAACAAAGAGTTGCATATGTAAAAAGCTATTTATGTCTATTGTTACACTGTGACAGGATTCACTGGCCAATGCAGCAAGTGGGAGGCCATTTATAAAGGCTGGTAGAACCCTCTAAGACTTGGTTGAGGGGCTAGCAAGATGGCTCAGTGGGAAAGTAGTTAGTTGAGCGTTTACCTCAACTCATCCCTTCCAGGACCCATGCTAGGTTGAGCCCACAAGCCCTAGGAAAGGCCTGTTGGTCTTTCCTCTCCTGAGTGGAAACTTCCTATAAATGGCAGGGAAACCCAGGGGAAGCCCTTGAAGGAAAATTACCAGGCTTGGTTTTCTTTTTCTTTTTCTTTTTCTTCTTTGGCTTTACTCTCACAAACTCTTTGAATTTCTTCTCTTTATTCTTTTCCTTCTCTTTTGCAGCTAGAAATTAAACAGGTTCAACTGTTATTTTAACATTTTGTTTTCATGCTGGGATTTTATTCTTTTAAGTTATGAAGCATATCCAATGCAAACACTAGAACACATCCTTGACGTGGTTCTGCTTGGGAGGTCCCCTTCCTGTGCTGAGGGATCTGGAGTGGATTGCTGGACAGAACCACTCCTCTATCACTTGGCCTTCTGATCTGTGCAGCCACCAGCTGCTCCATGGAAATGTGTATGAGTCTGGGTGAAATATGTTGTAGTCATTAGTTGTATGTCTATGGCTGCTGACATGGTTCAACAGCCAAGCTGAATAGTGAGGACAGGACCCTCAAAACTCACAGTATTGATTATCTGGTCCTTTATGGGAAAGTTTGTCAACCCCTACGCATAAATGTAGCTACATACTGGAATCAGCTGGGAAGCTTGTAAAAGAACGACAACAAAATACTTAAGTCCCACCTAGAGATTTTTACTTAATTGGCTGGAGATATAGCCTGGGCATCAAGATTTGGCTCCATTCATATATTCATATTCTCTCCCCCTCCTCACTTTTTTCATTTAAAAACATTATTAATATTATTATTATTTGAGATCGGATTTCCCTGATAGCTTCAGCTGGCCTGGAACTCACCATGTAAACCAGGCTGGCCTTGAACTCACAGAGCTCCACCTGTATCTGCCTCCTGAGTAGTAGGGTTAAAAAGCATGTGCCACACACCTTTCATCCCAGCACTCAGGAGGCAGAGGCAGGCGGATCTCTGTG